AGAAAGTTCATCAGACTAGGTCACTTTTTTTGTATCTCAGGAGAAAGATTCATCAGACTAAAATTTTGATCCTAGGAGAAGGTTCATCAGACTAGGTCTTCTATCTTAGGAGAAAAATTCGTGAGACTAAGATTTTGATCCTAGGAGAAAGTTCATCAGACTAGGTCTTCTATCTTAGGAGAAAGATTCATCAGACTAAGATTTTATTGGGAGAAGATCCATCAGACTAGGACTTTTTATCCTAGGAGGAAAAAATGTGAAGATCAATGGCAAGATTTTATGCACAATAGCAAGACAAATAAAGGCAAAGATTTGAGAAACTTCCCTTTATCGGCTCTTCTCTTCTTTTCTTTTTCTTCTCTTTTTTTTGTTTTTTTTTTCTTTTTTTCATTTTTCTTTTTTTTGAATCATTTTCCTTGCACCGCTTTGTTCCTGTTTCATACAAAGAAAAAAGAGAAAAAAAAATTGTCAGTTTTGAAAATGGTGGTCGGTTTGTGGCCTCGAGTCTTGAGCAGCTTGGCTTTTGCTCAATCATCTTGTGTCAGCATCAAGAAACTTTTGTTCTGCACCAACTCTGACTGTTTCACACCCGGTACCATTTGTATTTCTGGCAATCAGCATTATCCCAACTGAAGATCTTTTCTTAGATGATCTTTTCTAATATCTGAGCAATTTGTCTGTCAGAGAGAATCACAAGTTATCTTTGTTTGCGCAAAGCAGGCTGACAAGAGTCTTTTGGGGGAGCCTTTGTATGAATCCTCAAGGCATGTTGACATTAACAACTGAGTTTGCTGGCCAAATTTAATTTATAAAATTGAAAAGCTGGTAGCAGATTTTGAAATCTTTTCTTGCTTGTTTTGACAAGGACTGACTCAGAGTGGAGGACACAATGGTGCAAAGAAACAAGTATTAACAAGAAATGCCCCTGTCGAAAGGACAGAAGGAAGAATTTTTTTTTCAATAACTAGCCTTAATGATCATGACATGCATTTTGGACTTAACAGCCGATCTATCAAACTGACCAAATCTTCCCTTTTACCATTCTTATGATCTTTGCAGTTGGGCCTATCCGTGCCAATCCTTTGCATCAGCTTCACAATTCATTTTCGACTGATGGTGCCCCGAGGAATTTTCACCAACAAGTCTCTCTCATTTATTCATCTCTACTTACCGTAGTCTTACAATGCCCGTGAGGGTTTTCACTAATAAAACTCTCTCATTTTTCTTTTCTTTTTCTTTCTGTTGCTTTCTTGTGTGGGCAACTTGACAGTGTTCTATGTCGTGTGACAATTGTTGCTCATTGCATGCGTCTCTTAGCATTCTTGAAGGCATATTGGGAGGTCTTTATTTGGAAGGTTTTTGGATAGGGTTGAAAAGAAAGGTCGACATGAAGGCTCAAAATAAACTCAAAATGAGGGGTTGTAGACTTACAACTCTTGGAATCGACTCTTTCAAAAATGAAATAAAATCTTTGCCCCAGTTTCAGATGCTGGGGATTTTTGGATTTTTCTATTTTTTCTAATTATTTTTCTTTTCTTCTAAATTCTATTTTGGTTGGACCGAACTGTGAGGCTGCCTACGTATCCTTTTTTAAGGAATCACGTCGAACGTAGTTTAAACATCTGACCTAACTATTTTTTCATCTTTCGTTTTTTCTTTGTCTTTTTTTCCTTTTGTCTTTTTTTTTGGTTTTCAAAACAGGTTGCCCCAGCTTCTATTTTCTGGGGGCATGGACCTTTGCCAGTTCTTTTCTTCTTCATTTTTTTTCCACGTGAAAATTGCCCCAGTTTGTACTCTTGGGACATAGACTCTTTTTTTTCATTTTTTTTTGACTCGACTCTAAACTTGATTCCAAAAGAGGGTGGTCAAAGAAAATAATACAGGCTCAAAAGGGGTAGCGAAGGATATAAAGTGTTTGGGTATAAGAAAAAGGGCCTCCCAACCTTGAGAATGCCAAATATAGTATCTTTTCGTGATCACGGCATTGATGAACATGTCTGTCTTCTTGGTGTGTCGTGGTCACAAGACACTTTCCATTCCTTAGTGTCAAACTTTCCAACAAACTTCAATTGATTAAACATCCTCAAACCCGACCTCCACAATGATTAGAAGGTGAATTCTACTCGACCTCAATTCCAAAGTATCTCAACTCTTTATTCATCCTCAAAAGTATCTTTTTTTTTCAATTATCCGATTCCATATTAAATCAATTTCTAAGATCTGGCCAAAATTTTCGCATGCATGTCATGTCATTAGAACTAGCGAGAAAAGAACTAGGAACAAAATGACACAAAAAGGACAAACTGTATTTTATTGAGTAAAGGATGAAAGGACTTGACAACAAGACAAACAACCCAAGATCTGAGTTACAACCCTAAAATAACCCGAATAATAAAAATAGCAACAGAAAAAATGGACAAGACTCACACAGACAGAATGGAGGGATAGAAGGGTTTGACTCAATAAAACAAATAAAATCTAGATCACAACCTTGAAATAACCCAGATAATTGAAAAAACATCAAAACAAGCTACCAAGATTCCTTTCTAGTGAAGAGGGAATGCCTTTT